CAATGTCTCGATGTGTTGATGGAATCAGGTCAGTGCTTTGTTGGCTTTTTGTATTGAGCAGTAAGGCTGTAGCACACAGCATAATTGCTAGTAGATATGCAGACAGCAAGGCACATTGGATTAATCCCCGAGATGGAACTCCCAGTATCCACTGTTAACAGAACCTTTGCCTGCCTTAAGGAGAAAGAAGTGTCTCCAGGACAAACAGGAGTTGCTGGCTGCCATACATTCAACATATCCTGTTGGGCTCTAACATAAAGGCAATGGTGAAGAATGAGACAATGCTGAAGATTGATTCAAAATCAGCTAATTAATCTTCGTAGCACTGAGTGACATAGTTTAGTGAGCACGGTGGTACGATTTATTTGATGGTTGGACTTGGTCATCTTATAGTGACCTTGAAGTCCCTTCCAGCCCAAGCCATTCTATGATTCTATTTTGGGGCCAGCAGACTGACAACACAAATGATGTAAAGCTAAAGCAGATTATCACTAGAAATTGTTCAGAGACCTGTTGCAAATGATAAAGCAAAATACTTGCTTTAGAAGTCAACACAGCTGAAGAAACTAAAGCAGATCAACAGGGAAATTATCTGTCAGTAGCTACGTGTATGTTTCCTTTAGAATCATAGACTCTCAGAATGATTCAAAGGACATCCAGTTCCAACCTCCCTCCCACAGGCAGGGTTGCCAGCCACTAAATCAGGCACCCGATCAGGCTGCTCATGGTGGCCCCATCCAGCCTGGTCTTGAACAACTCCAATACTTACGTTTAAACCCAGTTAGCTGACTTAATTCTCTGTGATTGCAGATAGTATCAGAAGCTTAAACAACAGTTTGGCAGCCAGTGTTCAGTGGGCCACATGACTGGTAACACGTACTGACTGAGCTGGGACTCTTTGTCCCAGACGTAGACTGCAGTAGCTGACACTAGAGTTCTCTGCAGAACAGAGTGTAAGCAACAATATTTTTCACATACCTGTAAAAAAATGCAATGTGATCAGTTCAAGTGCAAGGAGTGCTTAGAGAATTCAAAACTATTTAACCTTAGTGGTCAAACTCTCAAACAATATGGAATAATGGCATGGGAAGGTGTTGAATTACAGCCATCAGTGCATCTTCCCCTTTGACTTGCAATAGGATGAGAGGGCATGGCCTAAAGTTGCATCAGAGGAGGTTCAGGTTGGATGTTAGGAGAAACTCCTCAGAAAGAGCAGTGATGCAGTGGCACAGCTGCCCAGGTAGGTGGTGGGGTCATCATCCCTGAAGGTGTTCCAGAACCATGGAGATGTGGCACTGAGGGATGTGGGCAGAGGGCACGGTGGCGTGGGCTGGAGTTGGGCATGGGGATCTTGGAGGTCTTTTCCAGTCTGAATGATTCTACGATTCTATGAAATTCCCTTTCCTCCTCTTTGCTGACAAGGTGCAAAGCCCCTATGCATTCACTATAAAAACCCTGTATCCAAAGATCATGAATTACATGCATATATATTTTTTTCCACAGCTTTCAATGCAAGCTCATTTGCCACTTAGCTCATAGCATTTCTCCAGTACTCATCAGAGTTTAGACACAACTTGCTCCTTCAGCCCTGCAGAACTAGAGAAGTGTTGTTGATGTACAGATACTACCAGGAAGAATGGAGCACCTTACTCTATCTAAGATTCATGTCTTTTGGCAGATGCTTGTATCATCATCAAATATCATATATCATGTATCAATATATCATATATCAATATACTGTGATATAACATCATATATACACTGTAATATACTGTAATAACGTCACTTTTCCTGTGTGCTCCATGTAGAGCAATACAAACTGTGATCCTGTGAACTGTGTTTCTATGCAATATCTGTTTTGTTTATTAAAACGACATTAAACACGATAGAAGAGCAACCAGACGTTCTTTGCTTTAAACAGCTATAAAAATGACACATAACTAATCTACAATTTATTGTATTAGTGACTCATAAGCTGTTATTAATGAGTAACTAGACAATTTAAATCTTCATGCTTACTAAAAAGGGAGAAGAAATGTAAAAACAGCATGAGGAAGAAAATGTATATTCTATAAAAAACAATAAATGGACACTTCTTGCACTGAAACGACAACACAGGCAATCAGCCCTGTTCACCATTTATATCAATTATAAATGTAAAGATCAACTGGAATATGGAAATCTCTGGTGGCCAGGGGTATTAAAAATATTATGCAGAATTGTCATGCACTGCTCTTAAAAATAAACTCCAAACCTGTGCGTAATGTTGGAGTAGATAAGCATTTGCAGTCAGGTTGTTGATCCAAAGAGAGTAATTAAAGAAGGTGAGGTCTAAACTTGTCAAAGTCATTTTGCCCTACTTTCCTATTTATAGGTTTCAAAATGGAAAAAGCCTTCAAAAGGATTTGCATCCTAGCTTCCCTCTGTAAAATCCTTCTGCAAGAGATTTGAGAATTAGCTGCTGTGCCTGCAGTATATTAAAATCTTTGACAGCCATCCACTTGGGGAATCCCTGGGAAAAAGGAAAAAAAAAAAAAAGAAAGAAAGAAAGAGAAAGAAAAAGGAACAACACAAAAATAACCACCTCACTTTGCTTCAAAAGGTTCCCAGTATCACTTGAAAGCGCAGAATAAATCGCCGCTCTTCAGAATCGTCCCTAAGGCAGCGGGGTCCTTTGGTGGGAAGAGATGTGTGCCAACACGTGGCCCTCCTGCCCACTGCCCACCTGCTGCAGGCTGTGAGGAAGGGGTTTCCCCACTCTCCAAGCACAGATAGAGCAGAGAGGAGAGGCTCTTCTCTCTCACTGTGGTTTGGTCGGATAACGTCTAGCTATCTTTTCACTCTCATGTTGGGAAATTATCTTGCCCCACTGATTTTTAACTTTCTTTAAATGTTGTGGGAATCGTAGAGCCACAGAATCACCAAGGTTGGAAAAGACCTCCAAGATCATCCAGTCCAACTGTCCATCTATCACCAATAGTGCTCACTACTGACAGAAATGCCTTACATAAAAAAGAAAGTTTTTAACCCCCAAAGCTGGAAAACTCTACATCTTTGTTGCTGGATATTTTTAGCAGAGATTCATCTTGAAAAACAGCTAAAACTGTGACTTTGATGGAAAATAATAGAAAAGGAAGAGACAACGTTACTGCAAATTACTCAACTGCTACACACTCAGTTACCAACCAAACTTTGACATGGACATTTTATACACTTACCACAAAGGCAAGCAATTTTCTTAGAGCAGTTCTCCAATAGACCAGACCTGTGCTTCTTAAAATTGACAGCTGAGCTTTGTTTTGTCCTGTGATAGTGCAGCCAAGCATTTCCTTGGGCTCACAGTATAAACATATGCCCCACAGGAGAACCATAGAATCATTAAGGTTGGAAACAACCATTAAGGTCATCTTGTCCAATCCCAACCCACCACCTCCATGCCCTCTAACCATGTCCAATGTTCATGGAGAAACACTCAGCAGACAGACAGGTACGAGCTGTCAGGGACACAACATTATCTGACAATATGACTCTTCACTTCCACTTATCTGAACTTCCCTGTGCTAAGCCATGAAAAGGAATGGCGCTATCTAACACCAGTATCATAGCTGTAAGCTGATAAGACAAAAAAAAGATAGATAGTGATGGAAATATTTCGGGAAAATAAAAGAAAATATAAATAGCTGACTCATTTCCTAAACTGTTGAGATTATTTGGAAAAGCAAGTGAGTGAATGGTTTTATTTCTCACTTCCTAGCTCTAATTTTCAACTCATCTTCAAGAAGTTTATTTGTCATCACAAGGATTAAAGGTGAGCTGATACGGGCATGCATCATAAAAGAAATTGCTTCTGCTTCCTTGGCATTTGATGGTCCCGAGAGATGAGTAATGGGAGAGGAAATGTGTTTTTTATGCCCGCACAGAACTTGCTGAAGGAACCAAAGTGAGAAGTGTCATTTAGATAATGAAAAACAGTGTCCAGAGACGATCAGAGCTTGCTCAAGAGCAAGAAGATAGCATGTCTCCTTTCTTCCATGCTTTTTCTGACTGCGTGGACCAGATTTTAGCTGTGTAACATCACACAAGTCCACCCACAGCCAACAGTTTCCAACAGCTGAATATATCATAGAATCACATAATGGCCTGGGTTGAAAGGGACCACATGATCATCTGTTTTCAACCCCCTGCTGTGTGCAGGGTCACCAACCAGCAGCCCAGGCTGCCCAGAGCCACATCCAGCCTGGCCTCGACTGCCTCCAGGGATGGGGCATACACAGCCTCCTTGGGCAACCTGTGCCAGTGCCTCACCACCCTCTGGGTGAAGCTTTGTCCAGAAGCTTTGTGCCATTTTGAACACATTTTAATTCTCCTTTTTTTTTTTTCCCCACTGTTGCTACATTCCAAGAGAGCATTCATCCCACAAAGCCTTATCTACAAAGGCCTGTTTAGAAGACACAACTCTGCAGCTCCTTAATATCCTGGGAGGAAAGTCTGATTTATTTGCTTGTCTTAGTAATATTTTATTCCTTAATTCATCGACTAAATTATCAGGGAAAGAAAAGCAATATTTAGAAAAGAAAAACCCACTCCTTACTACACATTGTGTCTCTAATAGAGATATCCCCATACCCACTCACTCTTCAGTTTAAAGGAGCCTTCATCCTTATTTGCTGCTGGTTGGACTAGATGATCTTAGTGCTCTTTCCCAACCTTAATGATTCTGTGAGTCTATGATTCTGCATCGCTCCCATCAGCTCCTCGCCTGGTTTGCACAGATGCAGACACTGGCTTTGCAAACATGGCACATCCCTGAGTGCTGGCCGTTGGACACAGCCTTTTTTACCCCAAACATCACAAGTATCCTGACTCGGGAGCCAAAGGCTCTGAAAGATGACATAGTGACATACTGGTGTTAATTGTTCTGACAAGGACCCTCTGAGCAGTGTCATTGGAGGTGACAGTCTCTGCCAGTCTCCAGCTTAGCAGCAAGGTCACTGAGGAAAGGCAGTTTCCACTAATGCTGTCGGGCAGTGGCTGTGCACAGCTCAAATAGTGCTGAAACCTTCTGTTAATGGGATGTTCCAGAGTGACCACAATCCATGGGTAGCTCCACAGTGACCACCATCCCTGGGGACAAGACATAGCAATAAGAAGGATAGATAGAGCAATGCATTTAGAGGTGTCTATGTTATTCCTCTTCAGATGAAATCAAATGAACAAACAGATAAAACAAATGAAATGAAAAGAAATAAACAAAAACATGGAGGAACGAGAAAGGGTTTCATTTTCAAAGTATCTCTACTAATGAACCAGCAAATCTGTGAAGCAAGAAGACCCTGGTCAAAGCAAGTGAGGCTTGGATGGAGCCCTCCCTCCATTTTTAAGGCTTCTTTTCTTGCCCAAAAGCACAGTTCACCATCCCTGACTTCAGAAGTGAATAGCTGGGGAATGTCTCAGGCACCTGAACACAGCTTGCACATGGCAGAGTTTTACTTCTCAAGGCACTCAGGAATGTGGCTCGCTGCTCCCATTGCAGCAGCTGCATGGGAACCAATGTCAGAGACATTCACTTGGAAAGAGGATACTCTGCAAAGCACATAAAAGACATCAGCAAGGAGATGCAGCACTGTGCTCCCTGTAAGTTCAGCACAACACTGACCTCCTTCCCTGGAGGTACCACTCGCCCAACAGGTGATGTTTGACTCGCTGGTCAGGAGGTGACAATGTGCTAGGAATAGGAAATTCATATCATTTGTATTCCTTTTCCTCTGCTATTCTAAGGGTTGAAAGGGCCACCATTTTAAATTTAATTTACAGGGTATACTGTCTATCTGTTGGAAACACGAGGAAGCAGACCTTGTCCTAGTATTTATCAGACACATGCCGCCCATCTGCTTGAGCTGGGTCGAGGAGGATTTGCTGTTAATCCTTCAGACCCATCTGCAGGGGGTTCAAAATGCTGACCAGAAAGCTAGACAAGATGAGGTTTATTTAATTAAAAAAACTGCTCCGGAGGTTACTGGAAATCACTCTGAAGAAGAAATAGCTTTTGATCATGTCACTTCTGGGGGAGGCGGGAGGGGAAGGGGAGGCGGGCAGTGTTTTGCATCAAAATAAGATTGCGACTATGGGTAAATAAGTAAAATGATAGATCTGAGCTGAATAACCCCGCGAGGGGACATTGCTATCTACCTGTTACAACACATGGAGGGAAAACAAAGCCCCTGCTTCAGCTTGGGTGTTTCACCAGCACATTGCAGGGCTTGGCCTCTAATCTGGGCCAAGTATGAAAGGCAGAAATTGGGTTACTCGTGCATGCACACACACAGCACACGCATTAATCTGCAGGTTTGTTTGCATGGAGAGACAACCTAGAAAACAACTTCAGAACTGCAGCAGGTCAGCACTGCAAAACCTGGCATTTACATTTGCCTGCTCTGTGGAAGGAACACCAGTTTTTGTAGAACTGTAGAATTTGAGGGGAAGACAGCTAACCTGAGCTTTATTGCTTTAACATTTAATTTCAGCTTTTCATAATCAGGGCTACCACCACGCAGATCCATTTATGTGGAAGTGAGGAACTCCAAAATCCCAGCTACGTTTCTTGCTGTGTTGAAAATGGGCATCTGTAATGATATTACTTCTAAAGAAATATTGTGTATGTGATGGCTTTAATGCAGTGCTGTCTTTTGGGAGAAGTGGTTTTCCATGGGAACAACCCTTATACTCCTGATTGTTTTCCTGTGGCACAACAACTTTTGATGTAACTCATACAGACGATTTGTCCCAATCTCTCCCAGGGCTCTTCACCTAACCTAGAGGGGTCCACAATCATTTTCTTTTTTTCTTTGCTATTTCTTTTAAGCATAAACATCCACAGGCAGTAAACAATGACATTTCTGACCATAAGCTGGGAGACACAAGGTTTAGCATTGTGGTCCAATACTTGGTGCACTGGTGACATAGAGCTCCATCTACAGACCAAGGGCACCCATTCTGCAGAAGGATGGATCTCAGAAACCACTTCCAGGAGCAATCTTATTCCCTTGCAGAGTGGCAAGCAAAGATCCACGCTGCTTGGGGTCAGATAGCAAAGCCTTCTGCTTTGTGGCTGAAGATAACCTCCCAGCAATGTAATTTTATCTACTGCAAATTATTCCTTAGCTTTCCATTGCAGGATTTGCTTCACCTGATTCTAGAGCTGCCTGCTATCAGATAGAGAGTGAGAGGGATGTTTTGATTTATGAGAGAAGTTCTCGTGGAAAGTGCATGGGTGAAGAAAGAAAATCTCATCCAGAGATTATGAAGAGGGAAATTCACTGTGTTTCTTTTATGATGACCAGGTTAACCAGCTATGCATTGATTGTATAGATAGAAGGCCTCTAAAGTTGGGCAGGGCCACTAGACATGTTCTCTTCTCTGAACATACAGCTTCAAATTATCTATGGGTCTTTTGTTCCCCTTCCCCAGAGCCTCCCAATCCACATATTTTTACTCAGCAGTTCCTTCAGTTGTTATTCTCAGTCATGCAAAGGTGGCATTAACCCTTCCCAATCACCCACACCATAAGTTCGTAGGCAGGGCTGTGTGAGCAGATCTGAGCCCAGCCCCATGCTTGCTGTGCCAAGAGAAGACAGCACTGCTGCATGAATTCAGCCAGTTCCGCTGGCTGTTACTTCAACTTGAAAGGTGCAGATGTGGCATTCAGGGCCATGGTTTAGTGGGCAATATAGGCAACAGGTGGATGGTTGGACTGGATGATCTTTCCAACTTAAATTGTTCTGTGATTCTATGATTCACTGGCAAAAAGGAATACACATCCTAACTAGCTTTGGATTTAAGGTCCTACTGTGCTTATAGTTGTCAGATGCTGGACTGAGAGTCAAAGCCACTGATGCTGAAAGCACATTCTTTCTGCCTTCTCCATGGCAGGGAGAGTGTACAAGCACCTCAAGTCACAGCAGTGTGCACCAGGACCCCTTTGAGAGGTTTCAAACCTCTGTGAAGCCCAAACATCACAAGGCAAAACATGGCTGAAAGGGAATTCTTAATGACAGTATTTAAAAGATGGCAAAGCCCACTTTCTCAGCACAGATACTCAAATTGTGCACGGGTCCCCTATTTACACATGCAGAGTGGAATTTGCACATGCAATTAAGTTGATTGACATTTTCTTACTGTGTAGAGACCTTCATCGGCAAACATTTGTGCAAGAAATCAAGTGAGTGATATTTTTAAATGCCCACCCTGGCATGCAGGAGGAAATGGTAAGGAAACAGCAAGGACACAACTTCTTAGATGAATTCATCTAAGCACTTGTCAACAAATGTAATGAACGGAAATCAGAGGAGCAAATGACAAAAGCCATTGGTTCTGGGAAAAGAGCCTAAGAGGTGGTGTTAAAAGTGGCTCAGGAACAAGCACAGATCAACTGGTATGTCACTTTTGTCATAATTAGTTGGCAAAGAAAACAGCAAAGTCAAAGTCACAGTGGTGCATCGCAGCCCTCCTGTTAGCAGAGCAAGGCTATCGATCCCATCACTCATTTATTTAGGAGGCAGAATTTTAAACAGGAACGAGAACAGAGTCACCATCAAACCAGTTGTCAGCTGGATGTCACCCTAGGCAATTAGCATGCTCCTAATGTGCTACAAATTTTAAGCCCAAATTCTGTCCTCAGATGCTCGCGTTCAGCTCACACTGACTTTGCAGAGCACGTGGTTCAGAGAGCAGAAACCACAGAAGATCTGCAGGTAGATATTGCAGAGGCTTTAGACAAAGAGCCTGGGCTGGGAGGAAAGGAACAGGAGAGCTAAACTACGATGCTGCTAACAGAGCAGGAGGTGTGAAATACCCTCCCTGTCAGACTGAGCAGGCAAGGATGCAAATGTGCCCAAAGTAGCACTGGAAATGGGATGTAAATGCATTTGTAAGTGCCACAGGTAGTTAGCTATTAATAAATCTGGGGTTGATCCTTCACAAGTGTAAGTCGTTTGAATTCTGCTGATTTCTTTTGTTTGTACCAGCTGTAGATCTGTTTGTGTGTTGTTAAAAACAATATATCTCTTACCTGGGCCAAATTTGGTTCTCTGTTGCTGTGACTGGATTAGCTCCACTGAAATTAATGGGAGAAGTATGAGAGGTGTAGGCAATGTGGGAAATGAGAACAGAACACGGCTGCTACATTTGTTAAAGTAGAAAAGAAACGCTTTCATATAGACATATGAGCAAATCCGTTGCACGTTGGACTGACTGGACATTTTCCCTTAGAAAAAAAGGAAAACAAACTCCTTTCCCTTCAGAAAATGACATTTTGTGCAGAACAAGATTTCCCAAAAGGGAAAAAATGTTTCCTAGAAACGTTCCAATCTGAGATGTTCCAACCAGAAAACCAATAATTCTTCTTTTGTTCTACATCTGCCTGAGTCAGGAGACTGGTGATTCCTCCAAGCAACTCAGCTACTGGAAGAAATAAGGGTATGTTATGGTAGAATCAGTTTAGCTCATGTTAGGCTTTCCTGGGATCGCAGGACACACGTAGCTACAGCTCCCATCCAGGCAGAAGCAAATGATGATGACCTGATTCAAGCAAAACTCTTTCGTTTTAGCTCAAAATGTCAACATGAAATGCTCTGACATTTGCAAACAAATTCTTTTTAGGAACTATGTGTTCCAATTTGAGATGAAAACAAATACGAAAATACCAGAATTTCCCATGGGATAGAAATCCGGTTTTCATCGAGAGATCTCTATTGAGAGGTCACTTCTTTATTACAAAGCCACTGCTTTCTACGGCGATGCCTGAATTAAAATAAAAGATGGTCAGGGACCCAATTCTCATCTCACAATTGGATGGCCAACTGTCTTCCACCAGCTGGCTCCTCTGTCACTGTCTTGGGCACAGAAAGTTGAAGAATCCAGAACAGAGCCTGACAGTGACAACCACAGTACCGAAGGACAGAACATTCAGAAGTCTTGTCTATACATCTGCACAAAGAAGGGGAAATTTCAAGCTTTAGATCAGGTACCTCAACATCTTATCCGGTCCAAGGCTGTACATCAGCAAGGATGGAATTTCCACAGCCTTCCCAAGCCCCTTTTCCAGTGTGTACTGGAAAAGTTCCTCATGTGAACAATCTTTTCCTAATACCTAACTGGAATTTTTCCTGATGTAGTTTATGACTGTTGCCTTTTGTCCATTAATGCCAAGAATAACCCGTCTCCATCTTCTGACCATGACCCACCCTCAGCTTTCCCTTGCTCTGGCTGAGCAAACCCGGCACCTTCAGCCTCTCTGTGCTGCAGGTTTCTGATCACCTTGGTGGCCTCTGCTGGACTCACTCCAGTTACTCAGTGTTCCTCTTGTAGCGGAGAGCCTGAAGGCATACATACAACTGCATATTTAATTGGTGAGTGGCATGGACAACAAGAAGGCTGATGTTTCAACCTGATCCTTGCACTTATCTTACTTAGCAATGGCATTTTCTAACTATTACTAGAGTGACAACACTCCTGGATTCTGTAAGTCATCTCAATTCTCTAGGCACTAAAACAGAGACAGGCTGGTTTACACCAGGTCTGGACAAGGCTGGCTGTCTCCTCAACACCTCCATTACCATTGCCATTTGAGCAAATGAAACCATGATTGCAAATCACTCACCTGCTTATTTCATGTAGCAAAATAGCCAATGACACAACCAATGTTCCTGGGGAGAACTAGTCAGTTCATTGAAGTCATAAATGGGTGATAGCACTTGGAGCCGTAGCTTGTATTGGTATATATGTATAGGGGGCAAATACCAGCGTATGTGCAGAGAAAAGCAGGAGAAGTGAACATTCAGGAAAGGCAGCGTGTAATTCTCTGCACCAAAGCAGAATCATGCACAAGCCACCAGAAAATGCCGTATGCATCCATGAATAACCACCACGACATGCCACTGCCTTCTCTTTAGAACTCAGTCACAAGTCTGGGCACTGTTTCTCCCCACCACATAAACTTTCCCTTATAAAAGGTACCCCTACGTTGGGATACCTTTGGCCGCCATTAACATTGGGTTTCCATGGGATACTCCACCTTTTTGCCAGAGGATGAGCTCCCCCAGTGCCTTTGGGAGTCCCTTGCTTTCTGTGCCTTGTTACTAGTGTTACCTCTGGCCAACTCCCCAGGCCTTCGACACCTGTGGAAAGGCTTTGAGGGAGACCCTAAAACCACCAGAACATGAAGCTCATTCTCAGTTATTCATCCCATAGTCTCATCTACTTTTCCAAAATATACAGCGTTGATCTTTCAGCCATACATGATGAGACAGCATTGACTAAATCTGGATTTCTACTTTATTACAAGACACCATTGACTAAACCTGAGTCTCTACTTTGTTACAACAGTGATTCATCTCCTATCTCTAACTTAATAGAGTTGATTAACATTTGGATTTGGCAACCCCTTGATTAAACATGATACCCACAAGGAAGACAGTAGCAGAATTGCCAAAATGGGAACTTCCTGTCCAAAAATACGAAAGAAAGAGGAAAAAAAAACAACAAACAATAGACAACAACCAGCTCTTTCATCTGCTTCCTATGAGGACTCCGTTGTGTCTGTGTCACTGTGCAGAAGGCAGTAAGAGACGATGTCGACAGATGGGGAGTTGAGGACACAATTCACCCAGCCTTCAAGAAAGCTTACAGTCCTGTACTATACATTAATCCACAAGGTCAGTAATGGGGAGGGGGGGAGACACTAACCGTGTAAGCAGATAAAGAATTAAGATGGAGGTAGCAGACAAAGCGGGCACGTCTGTAGCATTTAGTGTAGATGGGGGAATCTGGTGGAATGTCACAGGGGGCATTTCAGCTGCAGGGCCCTTTGCCAAAGGCATGACCAAAGGGAAAGAAAAGAGCAGAAGGAAAGAAAAGGTGCAGGAGACACTCATCCAAGTGACAGCCAGTGCTGAACAGGGAGTAAATTAATCCTGGATGACACTGACAGACTAGGATTAAGTAGCTCACCCATGTCATTAGGTTGCATGCACATATAGATGAGCTAACAAAGATAGGGACAATGCTTACCCCAAATAATTGAGGACATGATGAAAAAAGGGTCAGAGGAAGGCTGCAAAAATAGTAGACCAGGAAACTTCCAGAGAAGACTTTCAAATCAGTCCTGTACTCAGTCATTCCCTTACCAAAGCATCTATTCCTACTCTCATCACCTCTCCTCATCTACTTGACTTTCCTTTCATTCTAGCTTCTCATTCTTGCCAAAAATATAGTTTTTCCAGACCTTCCACACGTTGTCCTGCTCTCTAATTACTGTTACACCCCAGCCTTCCACACACCCCTGTCAAGCTCCATTTCTTTCACAAAAACCATCACTATGGTTTACCTGATGAGAAGTAACTCAACTTGGTGATCTTACCCACCTCTTCCAACCTCAATGATTCTATGAAAGCTTCACCTCAGTTCTGTAGTTTATTTCCCCCTGCCCACTGTCAGGCTTCTACCTACTCCCCTGGAAACCCACCCTGGGAGTTCCTCTTTTGCAAAGTGGTAAAGCACACACAGCACAGCTTTGCAGGTTATGTTTTCAGGACTTGTTTAAGACAAGCACTGCTACCAGTAAATGACAGGGCTGAAATTTTCCTCATCGTCCTTCACATTGGTTGATACACTCAGAAATTAATTATTCACGTAATTGAGTTGCAATTCACTGCAGGACTGCAAGGGCTCCAGAGTGGGTGCCAGGGAAGAGGCAGAATTGCATATTTAGGAATGGAAATGGCATCAGGCTCAGCTCTGAGTTCTCCTGTAGCACTGAGAATACTGGGAATAAGAGCAGAACCTACACATAGTGCTGCTCTGTCCAGAGACTTGAGTGAGGCTGTACTTTGAGTTTCTTGCAGTGCTTGCTTGATCAGGGCCCTTAGCACTACCACCCAGGGAACATTCACTCTCCTACACTGCAATAACAAAAGTTAAGATGGTTCACATTCACATCTGTGTGAAAGTGGGTTAAATCACATGTTTGGTAAATTGAAAAAGGATCAGTCTCACTCAGAACTGGCAATGAGATAAGACTTAACTACACATCACCTAAGTGAGAAAGAGAAAAGTGCTATTTACCTTCTAAGACCCCTGCGAAAGGTATCTCTGTTAAAGCAGATACACTCCTCAAAGATGGATCCCCTTTTGTTTCAGGTTTCCCTCCTCAAGACTGTTGTAATTAGCATTTCTTAATGCAGCTCAGCTGAAACTGCCACTAATGCAATCTGAAGTTGCTAAATGCAATGTCATTGTGCACCATAACGAATGTTTGCTTAAAGATCAATAGGTGAGACCAGTGTTAATTGTTAAATTAAACATAAACATTGTCAAAACACAGCTATCATTATTCTTCCACCTGATGACACGAACCTGGAGATTCCTTGGTGACCTTATATTCAGGCTCTGCAACCTTCAGGTGCTTTGCATCAGATTATCTTTTCCTCATGCCAACTTTGTGTTTTAATTGATCACTTGCAAAACTCAATACAGGGGTGAAAACATCTATAGGGTACCTGGGAACATCTGTAGGGTACAGGGAAACTTGGAGTTAAACGTGTCACAGTTCAGCTACAGCCTTCATGGTAATATTCACTTCTACCTGCTTAGATTACCTCCTGGACTTACCATTGGAGCACAGTGTTCCAGGCTACATTTTTCAGATGCTTTGCCAACTGTTGGGGTTTGGTTCCTGCTAGCTGGTCACAGGAAGAGATGTAGATCCAGGGATGGACAGTGAGCATGATGCAGGAAGCCTCTGGCTTTGAACATAAACAATACTGAGTTTCAGCTCAGCACAAGAACCATTGCTCTCAGTAACTAAATGTGAACTTACCTCGGCTTTAGCAGAGAACAAGAAATCATTCCTGCCTTAAATCATCCCTGCCTTGCTGTGCAGCTGCAGACAGTTGATCAGAGTTTGCAAAGGCTGCAAACATAATAACAATAACAGGTATTATTTTCTATATGTCTTAGGAGGTCAACATCACCAGGGATTTTGAAGGGTCATCCTAAGAATCATTTCTGATTCTTTACATCACAAGGAATAAAACTGCACAGATTTAATTGGTTTGTCAAATACCATCTTGGAACCATCCTTTTTTCTTTGGTCCCGTTTACACTGGTAAAATCTGCTGTAGAGCCCCTTCCTCTGACAGTTAAAAGCTTCCTTCTAACTTCCAGCCTCAATTTATTCAGAGCCAGTTCCTGCCTATTTGTTCTTGTGCCAGCATTTCAGCTTATATAGCTCTTATCCCTCCCTCGTGTTTACCCCCACAACACATTTCTGGAGAGCAGGCCTATCTCTGCTCAGCCTTCGTGTTATTAGGCTGAACAAGCTCTGCTCTTCCAGCCTTCTTTCATAAGACAGCTTCTCCATTTCCCCAGTCACCCCAGTAACCCTCCACTCAGAATCTCAAACATGGGTAACCACAGCTGTCCCACTTAGGTTTTCCTTGGTATCTTACACAACAACATTAATGCTACTATAGTTCTACAATAAAACGGGTATCAGCCTGGTTGCATAGCAGTCCATCCTCATTCATCAAGCATTTAACTGCCTGTCTTCTAAGCCAAGGTGTTTGTCATTTAAGGCAGCAAATTCCATCACTGATCCCAATGTACACTGCTTCTCTGCTTCATAATACCAAAATTCTTTGGTCTGAATCAACAACATTCCCCAGTCAGCAGTTTGTTTCATTAATTCAAATAACTCCATAACCACTTGCCAGTCCCCCTTTTCTCCAGCCCAAGTTGTTTGCCATCCATGTCCCTTTGACTACTCTTTCTGCATGACAGAACTCTTCTTTTAATTCCCATCTTCTGTAAAGAATTTCCAGCACAATACATTCAGTGCTCCAAAGGAACCCAGTGCCAGGGAAAGTTCAGGTTGGATATTAGGAAAAATTTATTCTCTGAAAGAGTGGTGGAGTCACCATCCCTGAAGGTGTTCCAGAACAGTGGAGATGTGGCACTGAGGGATGTGGGCAGTGGGCATGGTGGGGGTGGGTTGGGCTTGGAGATCTCAGAGGTCTTTTCCACCCTTGATGATTCTATGATTCTATGATTACACAGGTCTTGATTTCTGCTGAGTGAAAGCTCTCAAGGAGCCTGACAAATCTATCTTCCTCTTACCCCACTTTTCATGTGCCCTTATGCGTTCAGTTATTTCAAAAGCTGCTCTAAAGCATTGCACTGTACTGAGGTACAGCCAGGAGTTTCTCTAATCACTTTCCAGCAGCTGCCCCATCCTTTATTACAGGTGCTGTGCTTGCTACTTCCCAGACAAAAGCACACAGGTTTGAATGGTGACTTAATTAATAATTTATTAAGAACTTTTGCAATGGGAATGTTGATCTCCTGTGCTGTGTCTCTCTTCTGGGTCTCCTCTGACCCTGACAGATTAGAACATTCTATGTACACAAGTCTGCGTTGCACGGAACTCTATCAGTTCTATTCACCCACTCCCATTAGTGATCTTCAGCATTAAGGAAGGCTGAGGCTGCCCCTTCAGTGTCTGGATGACACATGCTGCTTACTGCAAGGCAGACCTGTTCATTCCTTCTCTTTCTCTTTATACGACTAGTGAGCTTTTTACTGTCTCTTTTCCTTACAAGATCCTCTTTGTTTCACACCCAACTTTAGACTTTCACTGCCTAACCTTCAAGATAGAGCTTCTTTACCAAATCTAACCTTTCTCTCTTTCCCAGCATACTCCTTTTTTTTTTTTTTCTTTTTTTCTTTTCTTCTTTTCAAGGTTATTATTGATCTGAGGTCTAAACCCTTCCTGACAGCATTCTTCTTTCTTTCTCAACACAAATTCCAGATGGCTTCTATACCTTGCTTTAAAGAAATCCCCACCATTTTGCATCTTCAAATCCCTGTGTTGCCCTGTCCTATTCATTTTACCCGCTTCAGACACCAGCAGGAGCTACTGCTGGCCACGAAAATGTACAGACTGGGGACTCTGTCATTCTTACAGAAGGGCTGAAGCCATGAAAGCCTCCTAATAATAATACCGCCAACACTAATAATAGTGTCACCATCTCCATCTCCATCCTTCATAGCTACTCAGTTACGGGCAAGATGAATCTTGGGTGGCTGCACAAGCAAGCTGTCTTCTCAACTCTAGATAGCTTTGTATTAAGAGGGAATGTGCAATGCTTTGCCCATCTGGGCTCTGATATACAGACATTTGCTTTTTGTGCTGGTTGGTGCCCAGGCAACACCTCAGTACCAGCTTGAACCTGGGTTAGTGGGTAACAACATTTCTGCACTGTGATAATCCCACAGATCAAATTCTGTGCTGGTGTGGTTGAAGCTACGCATCTCTGTTCAAGTTTGCATGAAGTTGGCATCACTGAACTGTTACCATTGTTACACAGAAATAAGTTGCCTTCTGATGGGATTCTCGAGTGGAGCATTGCGTCAACCCTGCAGTTTTAATTTGCTAGAAGGAAGAATAGCACTTTGATATTCATCCCCACTTCTGTCAAACAAGATACGTGCTCTGATTTGCCATGACCACAATTTCATAACTCCAGAAAGACGCAGTCACACAGCAGACAAGATGTTTTTGCTAAAGTCAACAAACCTAACACAAGGGCGTTTAAGGCTTCCTCCTACATTTTTCACTGTGTGGTTATAAGGCAGCTTGGTCTTATCCTAATAAACACATTTTCTCACGTTAGTCAGATTTGAGATTTGATAATCTCATAAGGAAGCATGCAAGTCTCGAGCGTAGTGGGATCCACAACAAAAAGCAATAATAAAGGAACAACGAAATTTCATTGAGATGAGGATGGGTAGAGCTAGAATTGTCTCTGTGAAAAACCTGGGGAAAAGGAAAAAACAATGCAAGAGGTGTAAAGAGAGAGAAACCTCCAGAATTCAGCTTCTCCACGCCATTAATTATGGCCGTCAGGAGAATTGAGCACTTTGGACAGATTTCGCCCGGATTCAGGAAAGCGCTTTAACATGGGTTTAAGTTTACCCTCTGTTTGGAAAGTACTTAAGTATAGGCTTAACTTTGAGTAGACGTTTAAGTCCCCTTGACTTTAACATGTGCTCAAGTCCTACCTACAAAGGAGGCATTTTCCCCAAGCAGGAGACCGTCTTGGCTTAGGCACTGGATTAGCGATGAAGAGACAGGGATTTGAGCCTGCTTCTACCCCTGGCCATCGACCCCTTCTCTGTGCATCAATTTTCCCACCTGTAAAATGGAGCTAACTGCACCGCCGTTTGCAAAATGTGCTACTGCTGACTCACAAAACGTGTTAATGGTGGCTCTGAAAGTAATACCTCCTATTCAGTTCCGTGCAAACTGCAATAAAGAGCACAACACTGATGGAGCAAAATCTCTGCTGCACAACACTGCCTTTCAACATAGCCACTGCCATCAGCTATGCAAGCCTCATCTTTTGAAAGTTCATATTCATGTCACTGTCTCCAGGCCTTTCTAACTCCTCCTTTGAAACAACAATGGTTAATATAGGGCAATGGGGGATCTCAGCTGCACATCCTTCCCTGTTAATTCAATAAGGGCTGACTTTATTAGCTGGTTTCTCTTTTTTATATACCTCTAAGAGACACCTACCTTCTGTATATATATTTTTTTAATTTTAACTTAAAAAAAAAATCAATTTAAATTAATGGGTTATTAAGTTGTTGGATGCATTTTACACCTTCTACGTGAAGTGAGTTTGGATTTTCATTAGATAGAGCTAACACCAATTTTCAATAAAATATTAACCAAACACACACAGAAACAGTTCATGTGGATCTATCCACTACTTCAATAAAATTAATAGACTTAGATATTTACTCTTGCCCCAGCAGTAATATTTTCCCACATTACATTTCAAACAATGAAATGACACTAAATTCATTTAAAACAAATTTATACTATTGTTATTTTAAACAATACTTAATTCAATTTCAGTGTTTGGCATGCAACATTTGAAAATATCAATATTGTAGTTTAATGTAAAAATAATAATAATGCAGCTGCAAATTGTTAGCATACACAAGCTTCCCAAATGCCTTCCAGGGCTGGTATTTACATTAAACTGAAAATGAGCAAAACCAGCCAGATGTAACTGTGCCATCCAGAGAATGTGGCTGCAGA